CACACAGACACACAGACACAGACACAGACACACACACACACACACACACACACACACACACAGACACACACACACACACACACACACACACTCACACACTAGAGAGAAACTTAACATATGAGTCTGGGCAGATATGAAAGCACATATGTGAACGTCAGTTTCCTTTTAATCAAATATAGACAGAGCGAGACTGACGTCTTCTCATCTCCTCTGCTGCGCTTGTCGATCTCTATCTGTCTGTTCTCCTCTGCTTTCATTACTCGTCTCTCTCTCTCATGCCATCCGTCCGCAGGTCTTTTCCCAGATTGCTCAGTGCCTCAGCGATCGCAGCTGAATACAGGTGAGCAAGTGTATGTATTCATAAGCAGATGTGAACACAAACGCTCTTATTTAATGCTCAAATGCTGAAAATAAACCAGCCTGAGGTGGTTGCTCGTCTTAGCTGGTGTTAGATTGATCAGGGTTGATCTTAAACCAGCATGGAGCATCAAACCAACTTAAGCCTGTTTTACAGCACTAAGGCTGCATTTATTTGATCAAAAATACAGTAAAAATGATTAAATATTATTACAATTTCAAACAGCTGTTTTCTATGTGAATATCTGTTAAATTGTAATGTATTTCTGTGATGCGCAGCTGTATTTTCAGCATCATTACTCCAGTCTTCAGTGTCACATGATCTTCAGAAATCAGTATAATATGCTGATTATTAGAAATATTTCTGATTATTATCAATGCTGAAAACAGTTGTGCTGCCCCGTATTTTTGCGGAAATATTAGATTTTTCAGGATTCACAGATGAGTAGAAACTTGATCAGGGTTGATCTTAAACCAGCATGGAGCATCAAACCAACTTAAGCCTGTTTTACAGCACTAAGGCTGCATTTATTTGATCAAAAATACAGTAAAAATGATTAAATATTATTACAATTTCAAACAGCTGTTTTCTATGTGAATATCTGTTAAATTGTAATGTATTTCTGTGATGCGCAGCTGTATTTTCAGCATCATTACTCCAGTCTTCAGTGTCACATGATCTTCAGAAATCAGTATAATATGCTGATTTAAGAAACATTTCTGATTATTATAAATGCTGAAAACAGTTGTGCTGCCCCGTATTTTTGCGGAAATATTAGATTTTTCAGGATTCACAGATGAGTAGAAACTTCAAAAGAACAGCATTTATTTTAAATAAAAATCTTCTGTAACATTATAGCTGTCTTTAGTCACTTTTGATCAATTTAATGCATCCTTGATGAATAAAAGTATTAATTTATTAAAGACCCCAAATTTTTCAATAATAGTGTAAATAAAAATGCAATTACATTTAATTGTAAAAGAGTAGTTGTTTATAAGTTCATTGCATGCTCCTTGTATAAATAAATTATACAGACAAAAATAAATAATATTAATGCATTTTAAAAGTAGCAAAAACCAGTGTGCATTATATTGAGAAAAAAAGCTTTAAAATGATTCTCTGGAGTCTGTGCATTACTCATAGGCTTGTATTTAGGTCCAAACACACCGACTCACCGTCAAGTAGGTCACGAATTTTATCCATGTAGACTTCAAAATAGGAAACCTTGAGAGAGAAACGAGAACAGCTGACGATGTGCAATTATCTGACAGCATTAACATTTCTTCACTAGAAAAACAAAATGATCTGTAAATATGAACGACCTCGTTTTATGCATTTGTCCGTACCTTAATGTGGAACTCGAGGTTTTCGTCCATGGTGTAAATGTGGTTGAAAATGTCTTCAGCGATCCTCGGGATGATTCCTCTTTTGTCAGGATCGTGCAGTTTTCCCTGAGAGAAAGAGAGAGAGAGAGAGAGAGAAAGCAGTGAGCACACTGTAATTGTGCTTTTTTAATGTGAATATTCTTCTTTTATGTTCCACAGATTAAAGAACGTTGTACGGTTTTGGAGCAACACGATGGTGAGTAATCTTCATTTCTGAGTGAACTGTTCTTTAATAATGAGCACAGAGCAGTGTAGAGAGCTGTTTCACCTCCATAGTGTAGGTTTTACCGGACGACGTCTGTCCGTACGCAAAGATGGTGCCGTTATAACCGTCCAGAACATCTGTAGAGAGAGACTAAATCAACCATCAGCCCTTGAGAACAATGTGGATTTACTTTTAAATTGTAACATTTTTAAATCAAATGTAGCACGTGCAGGATACAAAGTATCATCGATGTGTTATTAGAGGAAACAAATAGAAACATTTTTTTGTAGAGAGAGAGAGAGAGAGAGAGAGAAAGCAGTGAGCACACTGTAATTGTGCTTTTTTAATGTGAATATTCTTCTTTTATGTTCCACAGATTAAAGAACGTTGTACGGTTTTGGAACAACACGATGGTGAGTAATCTTCATTTCTGAGTGAACTGTTCTTTAATAATGAGCACAGAGCAGTGTAGAGAGCTGTTTCACCTCCATAGTGTAGGTTTTACCGGACGACGTCTGTCCGTACGCAAAGATGGTGCCGTTATAACCGTCCAGAACATCTGTAGAGAGAGACTAAATCAACCATCAGCCCTTGAGAACAATGTGGATTTACTTTTAAATTGTAACATTTTTAAATCAAATGTAGCACGTGCAGGATACAAAGTATCATCGATGTGTTATTAGAGGAAACAAATAGAAACATTTTTTTGTTTAGTTGTTATAGCAGAAAATGTAAAATATTAAAAGAGGGGTAAGAAGCCTCCATGAATAAACTTTTACAGAATGTATAAATGACTTCTGATATAATTATGATTAATATTTATATATTTATAAAAGTGTCATTCATGTAAAATACTAAAACAACTCTTCGATTTATAATTGTATTTTTTTTTATGTAAAAATATTTACATTTTAGTTGAATAATTGAATAATCGATGACGCACAAAGCAGAATCCCAGTAAAAGAGATCTATCTGAAAGGTAAAATTATTCTATGACAGGCATATGAATATTTACATATTTAATCGCCCATATTTTAATTGAAGACAACAGCAATGGTATGAATGCAAATGTAATGATTTTACTCAATCTATAGGTTTTAATGAAAGCGAAGATGTCTGAAATGTACATCTAATTCATGGAAATATTAAATAATAACCCCATTAATTAAATAATAATAAAAATTAATTAAATAAAAATTTTATATTAAATAATAACCCAGTTAATTAATTAATAATAATTATTAATATTATTAAGTATTATTATTATTAATTAATTAATGGCGTTAATATTCAATATTTAATTATTAAATAGTAATTATATATTAAATAATAACCCCATTAATTAGTATTACATTTAGTATTATTATTATTTTTATTATTATTGTAATGTAATTATTATTACATTTAAAAACAGTAACTCCAAGGGACTTATTTGATCCTTTCACTTCAAAATAAAAACTCTAAAAACAAATAGACACAAAACATAATATAATGTCACAGATCACTATTTTTCACAAAACTGTTTAAAATGACTAAATCTCACAAATGTTGATATTCAGATGAAATGCAATTATCTTTATTTATAATGTGTGCTATACAATATTTTGACATGTATGTATATGTTTTTGACGAATCAGTCCCTATCTACACACTCGCCTTTGACGATCTGTTTGGCACACGTGTTGTACACCTGCTCCTGCGTGCAATTCGTGGGAAAGACTTTGTCAAAAACATACGGCTTCCCCTGTAAGACATAAACACATTCACTTCTATATAGACAATAATAAGTCCAGATAGGTGAAGAAATGCACATGCTTCACGTTAAGCTCTTCAGTCAGTAACACGAGCTTTACTTGATCCTCAGAAGAGCATCAAAGTCTCCAGAGCAGACGCACACCTGAAGAGTCTCGAACACACACGTTATATGAAGTCGACGCAGATGTTTGTGATGACAGAAAACACTTAACCTTTGCTTTCAGCTGCGGTGCAGTCCCTCGATGCATCTTAAAATAGACTGCTTTATGTCTGTCTGTGCTTGCAGGAATCATAATGAGCGTCTAAAACAAGAGCACACACAGTGTTTATGGCTTGAATCTGCGGTGTGTGATGAGATGATCAACACGTCCCCATGTGTGTGTGCATCTGTTTTAATAACATGACGACTGGCCAGAGTAACAAATTGAAATTAAAGGGGTCCTATTATGCTCGTTTACAAAGTCTGGATTTTGTTTTGGGGGTGTACTAGAACAGGCTCTCATACTACGTTGTTCGAAAAACACATTATTTTCACATATTTAACATTATTACAACACCTCTCTCCCCAGTCTGGCATGAACAGCTCGAAAAGTTCATGTATCAAATGAAGGCTCGCCTTCTGAAATACGAAATGTGTTGTGATTGGTTAGCTGGGTCAGTGTGTGCTGTGATTGGTTAGCTGGGCCGGTGTGTTGTGATTGGTTAGCTGGGCCAGTGTGTGCTGTGATTGGTTAGCTGGGCCGGTGTGTTGTGATTGGTTAGCTGGGCCAGTGTGTGCTGTGATTGGTTAGCTGGGCCGGTGTGTTGTGATTGGTTAGCTGGGCCAGTGTGTGCTGTGATTGGTTAGCTGGGCCGGTGTGTTGTGATTGGTTAGCTGGGCCAGTGTGTGCTGTGATTGGTTAGCTGGGCCGGTGTGTTGTGATTGGTTAGCTGGGCCAGTGTGTGCTGTGATTGGTTAGCTGGGCCGGTGTGTTGTGATTGGTTAGCTGGGCCAGTGTGTGCTGTGATTGGTTAGCTGGGCCGGTGTGTTGTGATTGGTTAGCTGGGCCAGTGTGTGCTGTGATTGGTTAGCTGGGCCGGTGTGTTGTGATTGGTTAGCTGGGCCAGTGTGTGCTGTGATTGGTTAGCTGGGCCGGTGTGTTGTGATTGGTTAGCTGGGCCAGTGTGTGCTGTGATTGGTTAGCTGGGCCGGTGTGTTGTGATTGGTTAGCTGGGCCAGTGTGTGCTGTGATTGGTTAGCTGGGCCGGTGTGTGCTGTGATCGGTTAGCTGGGCCGGTTTTCGGCATTCTCAGTTTTTCCAGAATCGTGTGGCTCTAGTTGGTCATTTATTCAAATGTAATGTAAACAAATAAATGACTTTAATTTCAGGCTAAGCACATTGTCTCTTTCAACCCAAGCAATGCCCCTGATAACAATCCCATAATGTTTGCAAAATGATCAAATGGAATGTTCTTTCAACATTTGCATAACCAAAAAATAATAATAATAATAATAAAATTATAAGAACATATAAGAAAAACTGGACGTTTTGAATAGAAATAAAAATGTTATAACTTAATGGGAATGTTAGCAAAACATTCTTAGAACGTTTATTACATATTATTAGATATTTTTGTTAACTGAGTGGATGGATGGATGGATGGATGGAAAGAAAGAAAGAAAGATTCCCTGAAAAGGCATGAGCAGAACCTCAGAACAGACTGAACAGAAGTGAAAGGCAGAAAAGCGAGCAGTTGACGGGAACGGTGGGCAGATCTGAGATGAGGATTTGATCTGAATGTGTTCTGCAGGGATGTGAAGCGTGATGAACACACACACACACACACACATATATATATCAGAATAACCGGCCGCGCTGGGAGCTGAAATACACACGGGATCAGAGCGAAGCAGATGCACCTGAACTCCAGCCACAAACCCCAGACCGCTTTATTAGATGCGCTGATGTTTGCATGAGTGAGTGGGTGGACTCGGTGCTTCTCATCCGCTTTTAATTCAGGATTCAGATTTTACATTGACATCAGGTGACAGATGAACTTTGATTGAACCCGCAACCTTTGATGCATAGGAATTATCTTCTCCTTTTAAATAATTACCTTCTCTAGCTCTGCATGACTATATTTAGATATTTATTACATTTAGCATTTCCCCCGTTGTCAGAATGGACCTGTGACCCACCAGTTTAACCAGTGCATTAACTAACAATGACTACCTGACCTGGGAGCTGGTTAGGTGTCGTCTACACGTGTGTGTGCATGTGCATTTGCATGCATGCTTGGTAAAGAGCCCTGTGGCTCTGGCATGGAGATCAAGACTTATTCTAACAAGAAAGGCAGAGGCTGGAAGACTATCACAAGCACATTCAAGCTTTCTAGTGGAAAAAAAGCAGAAACTGCTCTAAAAACATCACATTTCAATATTAATACAAATAGATTAACGTTTTGAAATCCAAATCAAAAAATGTGAATACATTTCAGGAATTTAGAATGCTGGTTATAAATGCACACATTTTAAAATAAAGCTATTTTCATCCTTGAATCCTTTTTAGACAATCGTACTAGTGATCCTAGTGATGTGAACCCTTTAGTTAAAGTGTTAAAGTTCAGTGTGTATGTCTGTGCTATATATATATATATATATATACAGTATATAGCCTAAACAAATATGTCTGTATATTTATGTGCAATACTTTGGACTCTCATTCTGACGGCACCCATTCACTGCAGAGCATCCATTGCTGAGACACTGATGCAATGCTACATTTATCCAAATCTGATGAAGAAACAAACTCATCTACATCTGGCCTGAGGGTGAGCACATTTACAGCAGATTTTGGGTGAACTATTCCTTCAGTCTACCAGGAATAGAACCCAAACCACAGGCTGCAGCTATAAACATAGCTATAAATCATCTGAATTCAATCAGATTTACTGAATAGAAAGAGTTTATCTGTTTCTCACTGTGTGTAGAACTTGCCTCAAGCCAGAAATTCAACAATAGGCGAGTAGTTCACACATCTATTTTATGATATCAACACTCTGTGTTTATAGGGAGTTTTGAACATGTTTTCTGGGTTGCAGCGTTGCACAGCTTTTAGGAGTATATTGAGCTAGAAGCCACTAAGCTCTCCTTTAATAGGGTCTCTGATTTCAGCTTTAGACTTGCAGAAATATAATTAGTTTTTTTGCATATGGCAAATAATAAAAAAAAATTCTAGCCAAAATATATTCAAAATATATATTGCAAACAATGAAACTTAATGAAATGTATTTTTAAATTGAAAATGTATTTAGTTTCAACCTTCATTTACCAAAATGTATTTCAGGGGCATTTTCAATGTATAGATACTGTAATATTGTATTGTTTTTGGAACATTGTAAAGCATGTTTCTAATTTCTAATTTTTATTTAAAATGTGTTGTATGTTCACATGTTATAGAAAACAAATTAGGTTTTTCTTAAAATGTGACATGATGTGAATGTATTTTCTTGGACTGAAATATGTGGAGGGCAAAATTGTATTAAATATAATTATTAAAGATTGTTATTATTATTATTTAAATCATATTTAAATATTATTAAATTAACATTTACATTTTTTTATATATATTTTAAAAAATTCAAAATATACAAAAATATATTGGTAGAAAATATGTTTTTAAACATATTTTAACAAATATATTTTTGTATATTTTAAATATATTTAAAAATATAGTTGAATATATATAGCCATATGGGCTATATCAATTTTCACTGTTTTTTTTATCGTTACATTGAATCTATTTGGTTCTTGACTCTTGATATTGTTACATTTGAGGTTTAATTAATCAGCATTTTCCAAAGGAAAAATTAAACTCTTTAATTTAGTTTGATCTACTTCATTGTAAAAAAAAAAGCACATAAATAGTAATGTGGCAACATCTAAATAAACAGCTTTTCACAAATATAATTTAACATGACTGAATCAACATGCTTACAACAAAAACTCTTTTAAGGGTCAGATGAGGTAGAAATAAATCGAGCTGAAAGGTTCTACACATTTGGACATTTGACAGTGACAGTAAAGCCTCTCTCTGACATCAACATTCATCACACACGTCTACAAACACAACAGCATCGATCTGTTCCTGACATCCACTCCTGACCGCAGACCAGACAACAAAGTAGCGTGCATGACACAGTGTCTCCTTCAGGTTGTATGCTGCGTGCTTTTAAATGCTGTGGACATAATCAAAGCCGACAGCCGCCTTCCTCTGACTTCTGATGCATGTCAAGATGTGAATCTATCAGCAGAAATCACTTCTACACAAATGTCACTTGAGAGTTCAGCGGTGCACAATGATCATTTATCTCAATGCTTTACTAATGAAAACCCTGCCTGGCCTTGAAGACGAAGACGGTGCGGAACGAAAGAGAAAGCGAACGCCGTGACATTCATTTGAAACCCACAAGTTTTACCAGCTGTGTCAGTGCGATTGAGTCAGACCTATTACAAAGAGTGTTTTTAACTTTTAATATATTAGACAAATTATTAAAATAAAGACTAAAATCGTATTGGTTAGGTTTCTTTTCACAATATCTTGAAGTGAACACAATGTAGGGCTTCATTTTAAATCATTTCACTACTTTGGTTTGAGTGGATGTTTAATTCTGTGTAAAACTTTCTTGGCAATATTGTTTTAATTAGAGGGTTTTATTTATTTACTTTATGTATCGCGTTCTATCCTTCCAGTCTTTTGTAAAATTCTGTATTATTTGAATGACAGAATCTTCCAGGAAGTGACATCATTTTGGTGGGAACATTCTCAGAACGTTGTAGCAAGATTCTCTCTATGTTTTTCCAGTAATGTTAAAAGACCGTTCATTCAAAATTATCTGGTCTTTTAAGAATTTTTTTTACATCTTAGACATTTGTCTTAATGTTTTGTGAATGTTAATTGTTTAGGAATGTTCAGAGAACATTCAAAAGTAACGTTAATGTTTGCAAAATGATCAATTGGAACGTTCCCTTAACATTTGCATAACAAACTTTTTAAAAACATTTTCACAAAATTGGATGTTTTGGACGTTCTTAGAACATTCAGAAATAATGTTTTCATAACTTAATGGGAACGTTAGCAAAATGCTCTTAGAACATATTTTTGTTAGCTGGATCAATGGATTTACTGAATTTTGTGATGTTAGTTGGTTTGTTTCACTCTAAAACATTCATCTTTGGTCACAGATCAGTTTAATAATATCAACATTTCAAAAGATGAGTGAAATATGAAAATGAACTTCAAGTTGTAAACTAACTGTTCTTTTATTTCTGAGCATCTGCTATATGCTATTGTAGAAATACTTATTGATATTCATGTTTTCAAACGTTACAGAGTTTGTTACAGAGTTTCTGCAGTATAGGAATGACCCATTTATCTGCGTCAGCCTCTCTCACAAACATACACACACACACACACACTCACACACAGACACACACACTCACACACACACAGACTCCGCCACACTCACACACACACACACACACACACGCACACACACACACACTCACACACACACACACACACACACACAATCATCCATAACTGCAAACCTGCGCTATCACACTGACACTGGCACATGACATATATTTAGTTCCCGTCACACTATCTTTAATCTGAGCTTTAGAGGCTGATATATTTGTGCTGTTGCAGCACTGGGAGCCAGTTATAAGAGCTGCAAATGCTGTTATATTTCTGCCAAGCAGATCCATGTGTGTGTCTGAGAGCATTCACACTCCCGGAAGAGCTTCAATGGGTTTTAACCTTCAGCATATTTCAGCTACTCTTGTGTAGCTGTGGTCATTTTAACACACATAGAGTGGGCGGCATCAATAATGATTGAAATTAGAGTTTAGAGCCAATGTGTGTGTGAGTGTGTAAGGTACTGTGCTGAACCCTAAAGTGTTTTTATATATATGTATAACTGCTTTCATAACCATATTAAGTTTTCATTCAAGCGAAATATTGTTTAGATATTTATAAATGCACTCGTGTGCATGCATAAACATGTGCACACGACACAAATCTGAATAAATCAGATCATCAGCATGCACTGGCGAGTGTTTCATTAAAAATGAATATCACCATCTGGAGGAGTGTGACCCATCTGCGTCACTTTACTAATGAACCTAGAATATCAAGAGGAAAACTTGTATGAACTTACCCCGATGATGACAGTGTCATCTCCGTGAAATGTGGGGATATATTTGTCCCCTCGGAGGATTTCGGACTGGTTCAGAGGTCTGAAGCGACACAACACCCTGATGTTGCATTCTGCGCTGACTTCAGCCATCCTGCACTAAAGATACAACAGTGCGTTTGTGTCCTTTTCTTCTGATCTATGAATACTCGCACAGTCCTCTGCAGATGAATAGCTTTTACTGACAGGCGAAACAAGGGATGAATGATCCGTCTCAAATGAATCTGCTGCGAGTCAAAGCATCTTGCAAATTGAATAAAGCCGAGAGCCAGCGGATGACAGTAAAGAGTGTTTCAGAGAATCGCTCTCTCGAGGTTGTGTGGTGAGTGTTATTGCTGCAGAAGTGCAGGGATACGGAGACACACGCGCTGGGCACCGCGGCGCTCTGATTGGCCGGTATTCGACAGGGGGCGGGGCGTGTGCTGACTCTCGCATCAGCACCACTGGTCAACATGTCAACTTATAGTTTAGACAAAACTGAGAAGTGCACCAAGAAAGCTTTGTGTGTTGCGTTTTATATACAGTGTTGGGGTAACGCATTACAAGTTACGTAATCAGATTACTTTTTTCAAGTAACTAGTAAAGTAACGCATTACTTTTTAATTTACAAGAGAATATCTGAGTTACTTTTTCAAATAAGTAACGCAAGTTACTTTTTTGTTTTCCAATGCATTAATTGACAGCTCTGGTGTTTATATATATATATATATATATATATACACTTACATACATATACACACACACACACACATATATATATATATACACACATATATATATATATATATATATACAGTACTGTTCAAAAGTTTGGGATCGGTAAGATTTTTAATGTGTTTTTAAAAAAAAAGTATCTTCTGTTCTTCATCTAGGCTGCATTTATTTGACCAAAAATACAGAAAAATTGTGAAATATTATTGCAATTTAAAATAATGGTTTTCTATTTTAATATACATTAAACTGTAATTTATTTCTGTGATGTGCAGCTGTATTTTCAGCATCATTCCTCCAGTCTTCAGCGTCACATGATCTTCAGAAATCAGTATAATATGCTGATTTATTATCAGTGCTGGAAACAATATTTATTTGGAATACTTTTTCAGGATTCTTTGATGAATAAAATGTTAAAATGAACAGCATTTAATCGAAATATAAATCTTTTTTGTAACAATATACACTGCTGTTCAAACGTTTGGGGTCAGTAGTTTTTATTTATTTATTTATTTAAAGAAATTAATGCTTTTATTCAGCTTTTATTGATAAAAAAACGTGATAAAGACTTATTAGAAAATATTTTTATTTTAAATAAATGCTGTTCTTTTTAACTTTTTATTCATCAAAGAATCCTGAAAAAGTATCACAGGCTCCAAATAAATATTGTTTCCAGCTCTGATAATAAATCAGCATATTATACTGATTTCTGAAGATCATGTGACGCTGAAGACTGGAGGAATGATGCTGAAAATACAGCTGTGCATCACAGAAATAAATTACAGTTTAATGTATATTAAAATAGAAAACCATTATTTTAAATTGCAATAATATTTCACAATATTACTGTGTTTTCTGTATTTTTGGTCAAATAAATGCAGCCTTGATGAAGAACAGAAGAGACTTTTTTTTAAAAACATTAAAAATCTTACTGATCCCAAACTTTTGAACAGTAGTGTGTATGTATATGTATGTATATATAGCTGTTCTTATATGTGTGTGTGTGTGTGTGTGTGTGTGTGTATATATATATATATATATATATATGTGTGTGTTTATACAAGATTTCTGTGGGTTTTATAATAGGTCATAAATCAGAGAAGAAAACCTTACATTCATAAAGTCATGGCATTAAATGTTTAATGTAAAAAATTTATATCTCACTGTTTTTGTTTTCAAATGCAAATATCTAAACGTTCTTAAATCAAGATGCGTTTACTTAAGAAACAAATGTAAATTCTTGAAAATTGTAATAAAATGAAGTGAGTTTATGCTTAAAACAAGAACAAATATCTGTCATTGATGTTTTTTAATCATAAACTCACGTCATTTTGACCATTTTCTACCAGACTTCTTAATTTGTCATTTGTTTCTCAAATATATGTGTCTTGATTTAAGAATCTTTAGACATTTGCATTTGAAAACAAGACAGAAACACTGATAAAGATCATCACTTTTTTGCAGTGTGATGAAGTTACAGTTATAAATGTAACTATTTACACTTGAGCTCTTATGTCTGTTGTGTTTTTGTTCTCACATTTGATTGACGACATATTGTTGAAGTGACATAATTCCTTCCCAGGCCTCCAACGAGCCTGACGTCTATGAGACGAGTGATCTGCCCGAGGATGATCAGGCACAGTTTGAGTCGGTGAGTATCTGTGTGAGAGTGTGTGTGTGTGTGAGAGTGTGTGTGTGTGTGTGAGAGTGTGTGTGTGTGAGAGAGAGAGAGAGAGTGTATGTGACTCACTTTTAAGCTAATTATACTTTCCCTCCTCATTCACTAACCCACCATCACTGTCTGACCCGTTCCGGATGCTAGTTTGTGCAAGTAAGACGTCCTTGTTTTCTAACGCAGTAACTGCATGGGTTGAAATCTTCCTGCCTTTCGATTGTTTTCTAATCAGGGACGATTAGCATTGGGGTGTTGTTTGATTTATTTGAACTATGAACAGGCACTTATAATCCTAGTTTTGCCTGTGTGTGTGTGTCATATTACATTAAGACAAAAGTCTGAACCGGTGAAGTGTGGTACAGGTTGTATGATTAAACTGATGAATAATCTTGATGACTGGTTTACTCTTTTAATTTGGTTGTAGAATATGGCTCATGTTCATAACATGGACAGAATTGTATTCATGTAATTTGTAAGCTTGGAGCTGTTTGTAAGTTCTCACACTAACAGCCTGAGGAAGGTTGTGGAGTGACGTTTAGCTGTTCAAGTGTGTGTTTTAAGGAACACTTGGTGGTAAGTTTGACAGAAATAAAGTGTGTGTGTTTCACTTCCTTCTAGGGCTGCGCAATTTGTCGGGAAAAATTGCAATTTTTCTGATAACAAATTTAGATTTGCTGTGCTTGTTTGTACAGTTTTATACAATTTAGCTAAAAAATATCAAGGCTGTTGTAGTTAAGTAAAGCCATAGAAAACATTTTTGTAAACTTAAAACAAAATAAACATTAAATGAAATAAAATTACATTTTATTTCAGCTAGTCGCCAAAGCAACATTTCGCATTCTCATTTAGTTGAACTTGATGTACTAAAATAACTAAAATTGAAATAAAAAAAAGACAACTTGAAAAATAAAAATCACAAAACAAACAACAAACTTATGAAATTGGACAATACAAAAAAATAAAAATGAATTCAAAATATAAAAAATAATAGTATCTCAGTTACACTAATAAGTAATAAATAATCAAAAAATCAAATTTATATCAAATAAAAAAAATTTGTATGATTATTATTAGTACTAAATAAAAATATTACACAAAATAGGAGATATTACTATTGCAACATTTAACTGTAAAAAAAACAACAACAAAAAAAACATATATAATGATAATTTTACTGTGCAGCTCAAAAATTACAATACTAATATAAGCTCTTCTCAACACAAGTATGGCACGTTAAAAGAGACCCGAACTCGGAGAATAACTTCACTCATCGCGTATGTTTTGTGCATAAATACTTTTTTTAACAAATGCCGACTTTGGGATTTGATATATGATGGTTCTGGTTTAATTACTATGACTTGTGCAGCCCTTCTTCCTTCAGTCTCTCCGTATGTGTGTAACTCCAGCTGTTTCTCCGGTCTGATCTCGAGTCTCTCGTCTGTGTCACGTGCTGAAGACTAACATCTGCTCTCTCCTCAGAACAGCACGACTAACGCTTGCCGCGAGCTGCACACGCTCGAGGTCACGTGTGAAACTCTGGCTAATCTTTCTTGCAGTGAGCTGTGAGCGGTTTTGTGTTAATAGCATGATCAGATGTAGCGGTGCACAGGCGTTATTCAGTGTCAGCTGACGGAACGGAGGCCTGTGGCTCTAATAAACAGACTCTGATGAAATAAACACAGCGCTCTGTTCTCCTCTCCCTCCAGCTGCTGTTGTGCATGTCATATGATAACTACATTAATATCTCTCTCTCTTCCTCACTCTCTTCTGTTTTTCTCTTTCTCTTCTGCTCTAACTGTCTTTGGGGACCCAAGGAGCTGGTAAGAGTTTCTGATTCCCCTTTAACACCCAGTGACTCCTCTAAACCAATCAGAAGTCTGATCGTGAGCTGTGCATGTGCATTAATGTGATTGGCCGATCTGACAGATGGGCGTTTTCATCAGGATTTTGCACGTTAGGAAAGCTAAAGCAATATTCTGGGTTAAATGCAGCATCTGTGACATGATGTCAAGTTACTACAGAAAATGATTTCAACTTGGCTTTCAGTTTGGAAAAAAAACACAAACTGAGTGCTGACAGAAATACTGTGCAGTGGTAAAATGCTCCATAAATGTGATGTCAATGTAGCACATCAGGGTCAATCTAAATTATTTTCATTGGTATTTAATTTAGGATATTGTTTGAAAAGATATGTGTATGTATATTAAATATAAAAGAATATGTCTTAAATAAATAAATATAAAATATAATACCTTTACAAAATTATATATATACACACACATATAACATTTTGTATAGATTAATATATTTATAATTATGTTATACTAGTACTTAATATACTTAATTAATATATTTATTATGATTTATTATATATTTATTATGATTATTATTTATTAATATAGTTATACTTATACATATATAGCACTTAATATACTTATATAATTCATATATTTAATATGATTGTGATTATTGTTATTTATTAATACTTAAGATTTATTTAGA